ATCCTGCTCGGGTTATCCCGCCGCAATCCCCTCATATGCCTACTGCTACCAGTCATCCTATTGGCCAACCAAGCCCTTCTACGGCCTCTCCTGTACCACATGTATCTGCGCCTACACCCTTACCTGTACCTGCAACCCTTAATGCGCCCCCACTTACTGCCCTACAGCAAGCTTATCCACAGCTTGCTAACACGTCCCTTGCAGCAGAGGTGGCTTCCCTCACGCAGGAACAGATACACATTGTATTAAGAACCCTATCTGCGGATTATGGCATGGGTGTCGGCAACTATTCCACACCACCAACCGCACCAGCTGCCTCTATAGTAGCTACACCGCCTCAGCTATGGAACAACACCACCCCGCCCAGTTTTCCATCGCAACCATTCCCTACAGGAAACGTTCCTCCTGTAAGCCATCCTCCTAGCCATCCACGGGCGGCTCTACCTCCATCGCCTATGCGCCCTAATCCCATATCTCCACCAACGGGTCCTGCACGTGGGTCTTTCAACAATGGGCCGTACAATCGGGATCGAGAGTTTCGTCATGGCCCGGTTCCCCATCATGATAGACCAGATCGTGGAGGATGGACGAATGGTACGCGTGGACGGGGCAGAGGCAGGGGACGAGGGAGAGGGGATGCACCACACCGTCCTCAGGATTCAGGATGGCAAAGGAGTCGGACTCGTAGCGGACCAGACTATGAAGAACATTCGCCTCAACGAGGCCAATGGGACGGTCAGCCTCATCCTAGGTGGTGATGTACGTTGCGTGATTATCGCACTTTACATAAGTTATTACTTTTGATATGGAATGCCTCGAATAATATTCGTTTTGTACGCATGTACTGTTGACTTGTAAACCGGTCACTTGTAAATGGCGTCGGTCTACGCTGCCAACCGATCCGCATTGCATGCCTGGCCACCTTTCAAAAGCTTTGACCAAGAAGAGTTAGTTGAAATGTGTAGCATAAGCTGTGGGTATTTGAACGGAGTCACGGCGCCTCGCAACGTTCCCGGCGCATAGAATGTTCCATGGGCCACCGAACCACATAGTAGGCTATGCTTGTCATTGGCAGCCCAGGTGATGAGATTACTATCAATTGGACTATACTAATCAGGGAAACGTAACTTTTCACTAGAGTGCTACAGAGCGCTCTTTAGCATTCTGTAGCATAATCCAACGCACTAATGTATACTGCAGCGATGTACCGACGCTTCATCGAAGTCCAGATTCCACAGACAAGCGAAGTACATTGTCTCCCTCACATCGCTTTCGAACTCTTTTAATCCCGCACGCTCGAGTTGGGCCGCCAACCAAAAACAAATTTTCATTACGACCCGCGTATGCCACAACGTTCACTCACACTCCCGTAGTTACTACTGTAAAGGAATATACAACTGAGCCGTCCGCAGGCGAACGGATCGCTTGTAGCATATATGCACGAATAGTAGGCACAAAGACTATGGCAGGGTAATGAATATCGATGCCAAATCCCTCCAAGATCGACCAGCCTGGCTGTGCCACTTGAGCATCCGTGGTAGTATACGCCAAGCTGGCCACGAACCTATTGCCGTCATACATCCAATGATCCGCAATCATTGTACTTAATAGTATTTGATCACCGGACTGGATGACCACCCATGATTTTGTCCAGAGTCTTCGTCCTCAGCGGTGTGTCTGCAAACAAGGCACGCACAAGTTTCACCAACTCGTCCACCCCAAAGTCCACTAGAGCTCCTTCTTCGAAAAGGTATGTGAGATCAGCCATGGAAGCTTCCTGAAAAACAAGCGCAATGAGATATTGATCCAATAACCTGATTCCGAATAGATATACCAGGAGTTCAGAAAGATATGAGAATTTCAACCACGACGGAACGTATGACACCACGAAAGATGACTGGGCATTGATGAGTCAAGTATCTTGAAAAGTACAGTAAACCTACCTCGCTGAAGTCTTCAACAAAGAGCCCTTCAAGAGCAGCCAATATTCTGCACAACTCGCTCAGTTTGTGCGACTCTACCTCAGGGATATCAGGAATTGCAAGTATGTTCTCAAGGATCCGCTGCAATGAAACTTCGACTATTGCTCCCACGGCGGTGTAATACTTGCCCTTAGGGAGGATGGGCTACGGTAAGCGTGTACAATCAGCTGCTTTCAACATCAAAAGATGCGCCTCAGTCGTACCTTCCACGCATTTGCAGCGCTTCGGATCTCGCGAACGACACGGGAAATGGCCATCTCACAGTCATCATATCGATCCTGGTCTGACGTGTCTGTGAAGCCCTTGGCACTCGCTAGAATGTCACACAGGGCCGTCCGTTGTTTGTCCTGTTCCAATACACGGATGACTACTTCAATGTCAGTGACGGTAAAGAGTCGAGAACTCACGATGCCATCTTGATACCAACTGTCAGCTAACACCTGCAAGGCACTCTTGCATTCCTCTAACTTGTCTTTCATAGCAAGCACTCCCCGCTCGTGTGCAACCAAGCGACCAACCTCCTCTGCGAGCCAACAGCAGTTGTTGGAGAATTTCATAACATCACCAGGGCGAACGAGCCGTGCTGCAGCGACGATGGGGTACACTGCACGATACAAATCTAATACCAGTGCTCCTGACTGCATAATGAGTGCCCCAGGCGTCGTTGTAGATGTTGGTGAGGTGGAAAAGGTACCCGACGATGATAGTTCTTGTCCTTCGCGCAACGCGTCCTCGACCGTACGAATGATTGACTTCGCCAGAGTAGATACCAAATATGGCTCAGTTATGGGCCCTGACGTAGCAGGATGACGAGAGGTACTGCCCGTGGGGCGAGAGGCCCTTTGCGTCGCAGGTGCAGAGTCTGCAGACGGGCGTTGGGATAACACAGGTACTGTCCGCACAGCGGGAGTAACCACCGATAGGGAAGGTTCTTCACCCCATGGGTCATCCCATGTGTCTTCTCCTTGCCCTAGTTCTTCAGGTACGGGCTCTTCATCATTCCAGCCCCATGCATCCCCTGGGTCATCCTCGACTATTTCCACAGGTTTAGCTTGTTGACTTTCCTTTTCCTCCTCCAAATTATCATCAAAGCCCCAAACATTCTCCTCTTCTGGCGCAGACCTCGATCCTGCATTCAAACTCTGACCATCGTCATCAAGTCCCCATGCGTCACCTTCATCTGTAGGCGCAAGCCTAACCTTGTCAGGGGTGTCTTGTGAGAGGGATAACTGGGCATAGAATGTTGGCTCAGAAGAAGATATACTTTGAACGATAAGTTTGCGAGTAAAATCGAGAATGTGTGAGCGCCGTTGTCGCTCATAATGAGTACAAAAATTGTTGACCCAAGCTTTGATTTCCCTCTCGCTAGAAGCATCGAGCATCCCGACGATGTACTTGTCTTCTAAGTCCACTGCCTTGTGTGCAATTTTTAAAAAAGCAGGTAGAGCTTCAAGCTGCGAAGGCAGACCAGGAATAAGTAAACGGGCCAGGACTGCAGTGGATATGGGTTTGCTGAGACTTCGCAGAAAACTGTGTTTGTGGGTCGATGGGAGGGTGGGAAATAATTGTTTGTGTAAGAAGTCGAGGATCGTGGATACGTTGGCAAGTGGGGAACCTGTGTCAGTGGTATTTGGTGACGAAGGGAATCGGCCGAGGACGTGCATCAAAGCGCCAGATGGATCTTTCATAGTGCTGACCGTGAGTGACGTCGGCTGGTCAAAAGAACACTCGATGTAGTGTGTTATAATATCCCTCCTCAGGGTAGAAAGATGCGATGCCAGTGATGCGGAGCTGATCGATGAGAGGACGGACGAAAGGGGTAAGGGCTTCAGTGACCGAGGCACTGGAAAACTACTTCAGATACCCCCCACCATGTTGCTCTGTCACTCACCAAGCACAAATGGTTTGATGATAACTTGAGACGGGTTCACAATAATACTCTTGGTGTAAGCATCGCTGAGCAGCTCTTCCACACAATTGCTAAGCACACGCAGCCGAGCCTACAAGCAAGCAAGTTGAGACAGAACAAAATGATATTACACTCCTACCTGTATTTCAGACACTACCGATGCGTCTTTCAATGGTCCGGGAACGGAGATCAGCGAGGAATTCAAAGCATGACACGCGACTACAGCCGGAGGCAGATCCCCTGTGTCAACCAGCTTCTGCAGCGCATCCAGTTGTGCTCTACATTCAGAAAGGTGTGAAAGAGAATCACTCAAGACATCTGCATCCAAGGATTCTTGGGCAAGTGATTGGTGAGCTTCCAAAGCCTCAAGCAAGACTGGGACTAGACCGGACTAGTTAAGTATTAGCGATGCGTCTTATGACACAGAGAAGAGAGAATACATGCTTTAGAGTCCGAAAGTGTAACACTTAGGGTTTGGACATGTCCAGAAAGTGCATCCAGTCGTTCTTTCAGAGACTTTGCCGAAGACAGCTGTCTTTGGAAGCTAGAAGAGTCTGCACATATTCTGTCATGAATTTGTGTCTAGTCCAAATCAGTACTCCACGGAGAACTCATATAATAACGAGAGAATACCTTGGTCAATTGAATGGATTCGTCAAGCTCAGCTTTACATGAGGATGCAAAGGACGAATTTAGGGATTGTAATGTTACAGAGTCGAACTTGGAAAGAACGTTCGATGAAACATCAAGCTGCCGCGGGAGATGATCAGGGAGAGGAAGAGACATACGCCCAACCGACGTCGAAATCAGGAGAGTCAGTCTACACTAGTAATTCTGCACGCCTCCACGGACCACGACTAGTAGCTATTGAGTCAGGTGATCAGAATTCACGTGACTCGTCTATAGTTTGTTTTCTATGAGAGTGAGAGGAACGAACACGTGCTTAGAATGAGGTCTATGCCCAAGGCAAATAAGCGAGGCATGCATTGATTCTTTCCTTCACTCTCACCACCTGTCGATTTTCTGGCTGCTGCTGCCAGATCTTTCCTTGTCTACCAGCCTGCTCAATTTAAAAGAAGTTTTAAGTCTGGCCATTAAATAATATTCTCATGAATTGTCTTCTTTCCGACCTGCAGATTGAAATCTGTCTGGATTTTACATCGGCTTTCTACCAAACCAGTCGGGTGCCACTTGTAGCCACCAACAATACCGAAGATCAAGCGGCCAATCTTTTGCAGGCTGTATGGGTCGCTACTAACACAGCGCAACAACTTCAGTGGCAAGCGCAAGTTGCTTTAGATCAAGCTGCCGAGGCAGACAGACAACGTCTGATCGACCAGGAGAATGACCATCTTCTTCAAGCCCAGCGACTCGCAGATGCAACAGTGGAAGAGGAGGAGAAGAAGAAGAATCGGCTCAAACACATACCCATTCCAAAATGTCCAAGACCCTCAAGAGCCTCGGAGAATATCCTGGTTTCAGACTTCGCTTTACGCAAGCTCGACAAAGGACACTTCGTGGAGATACACTACTGGACTAACAAGGGTCTAGCAGACGCGCGCTTCAGTTATCGTGCTGCTGATGACGAAGGCATGGTACCCACCAAAACCTCGGACGGCGCCACTGCCTGGATTCCAGCTAATGCCACGAGGCCTTCATCCACCGTCGTCCCTGACTGCAGCTTAGAACCTCTCGATTTCGCACAAGCCATCCCTCGTCTTGTCGCTTCCTTAACCGAGCGAGGGTGGAATCATGAAAGAGTACACATGTTGGCAGGTTTTTGGGGAGCTCTCATGTTGCATCGATATTGGAGCTCGGATGACCCTCTCGATCGCTGCGCTTTGTTGATGTATCAAGAAGAGCAGCGTAGGGCCTGGCATCAGGCGATTCCGTTACCGGATGGTGCTTGGGACATTTCAATACTTGATGATGTTGAAATATCTCGCACCTTGGATCGTCTTTATCGAGAGGACCGCAGGCGCAAGGATCAGGACTTTGATTATCAAGTCAGTATGATTCAACTCGTTTGCCTTTCAATTCACTGACTGAGTCTTACCCTTTTTTCCCCCGCCTTTTATGTTCATTTCTTTCACACTGCGTCTTGCGTTTGCGATATGCGTCTACCATTGCGTCTTGCATTTGTGATCTTGCGTTGCGTTTGCGATCTTGCATTGCATTTGCGTTTGCGTACTTGCGTTATCACTAGTGCTCACAAGGTCTGAGGGTTACTGATACCTCCTCCGCTTCACGGTCAAGGAATTCCAGGAGATCTCCTGGAGCCCAGCGTCCACAGTACTCAGCTGAGCGCAGAAGATCTGCGTCACCTAACAAATCTGGCTCAGCCCCTGTGCATGAGGCGCGCACTTCTTCTCGCCGAACAGGTTTTCAAGATGGCGCACATGGGCAGCAATCCCCCGCTGTGTGCGCCGTCTGCCTGGGGAGTCACACCCACAGTTTCATCGATTGCACTGCCGAACGGCTATGGAACAAATCACATCCTGCATCCGCCACACGCATCAACAAACAGTTGTTGCTTCGTTCCTCCAATCAACCAATCTGTCTCGACTGGCAATGTTCTCGCGGTTGCAGCAATCGCACGCACAACGAAAGTCACGTCTGCACCGGTTGTTTGTCCACCACGCATGGCTCCCAGCATTGTCCTCGAGCACAGAAAGTTACATCCGATCACACCATATAATGCTACAGCTTGGGAGGATCTCCTACGTGTTCATGGGCTCCTACTTCGTTATCTGGATATTCCGCGTGGACTGCGGCAAGGTTTTGATCTGCGTCTTCCAGTTCTCACCTCTAGTCAAGTTCCATCCAATAGTTTGTCGCTTCTGCAGTATCGCGAAGCTTTTGACAGCATACTGTCACACGAGTTTAGTACTGGGTGCTATGTTGGGCCTTTCACACAGCTGGAACTCCATCGCGCTTTGGGACCCTTTCAATCCTCACCCATATCCATCATTCCCAAGTCTGGGAAGCCAGGGAAGTACCGCGTCATCCAGAATTTCTCTTTCCCGGATCTTCCGTCCCTTGCACACCCTCAACCTTCCATCAATTCCACAGTTGACTCGGATGATTTCCCATGCACTTGGGGAACCTTTGCCACGGTGTAGAGACTCGTGTGTCTCATGGTCTGATATGACAGCTTTACACTAGGAAGTACATAGCATGAACTTGTAGTGTCACTCTGTGCGCTACCCGCAGCTATCTCTATATGAGGCGCAGCTTTCCTGCGCAACGCGCGCCATGCGTGCACCATTCCCGTGCTTCACGATGTATGCGCGCGTGCGCGTTCCCGCGCTTGCGCGCCCTATAGCGCCAGCCATTCAGATGCATCCATCCACTGTCCACCAAGCTCCCTAGTACGTATATTTCCATTTCCTTTATTAGCATAGTTCCACCTTTATTTTTATCATAGTTTCTCACTCATATATATTTTTACATACCTACTCGGTAGCGCTTCGGCTCCCCATGACCGCGCTTAGGCGCGCTATATAAGCGCCAGCAGTACATACTACACTTTAACTTACTTTACCTCCCATTTACTTATTACTACTTACTTACTACTTAGCAGAACATAGTAGAACTCTATCTGTTTACACCTCGCATCTCTCTTCTCTTATCTAGTATCATATCATCACTTAAGTCTAACCTCTCTGTTGTTTCTGCATACGCACGCGCGCGTGTTCCCGCGCCTTGCGCACACCTGCGCTTTCTCGCGCTTCGCTTCAGCGCGTACCTGTAGATCTTCGCTGCACTCGCTTCCCCTATAGGGTCGAATGCACTTGCCATCTCAAGTATCGCAGACTAGGCAATGCACGACCTACAACATTTATAGATACAGCTAGGAGCTATCTTTGTTCCTGGCAGTATTGTTGTTTCTACAACGGTATGCACCATCATTAGAGGACTGCCGCCAGGTTCTCAAGCTGCCACACGGGACGTCGCCGAGGCTTATCGAACGGTACCTCTACATCATTCTCAATGGCCAGCAACCGTGGTTCGCATTTCCGATGACACATTTTGCGTGGATACCTGTATGGCATTTGGAATGGGCCCTTCTGCTGGTGCATATGGACATGTGGCAGATGCGGGAGTGGATCTACTATGAGCCCAGGGCCTTGGGCCTATCGTCAAATGGGTTGATGATCATTTATTTTTCTGAGTGTGAAAAGAACACCTGGGGAGTTATAATGAGATTCGGTGTTCACACCATGCTCTGCTGGCTCGCGTGGGTCAGCGAAAGCATGGAGGGCGTCTGTGGTTCAAAGGTACTGAGTTCAGTGATGGTTCCTTCGACGAGTTTGCTGAAGACTGTGGTTTCCCTCTGCGGGATCTATCTCGTTCTTCAGTTCCCCCACACATTGATGATGAAGACTTTGCATACACATTCTGTGACATTGATCGCGCTTCCTTGCTGCTTGCCATACCATGGGAACCAACCAAGGACAGTCCGTTTGGTTTCCAAGTCACTTACATTGGTCTGTTCTGGTGCCTCGAGACACTTACCGTTCAACTTGCGAAGGAGAAAAAGGAGAAGTACACCAAGGCCATCATAGATTGGTCGTCAGTACCCACCCACGCACTACTTGACGTCCAATGGCTACATGGCAAGTTGCTTCATGCCTGTCTCATTCTACCGGATGGACGGGCTTACCTTACCTCCCTTGAAGCCATGCTTGGTGTCTGCAGTTCGCGTCCTCTCGTGCCACATCACTCCGTCCGTCATCTCAACGAAGACTTGCAGTGGTGGAGTGACCAACTCTCCCAGCCCTTCGTCGGCCGCCCCATCACGCATCCAGTCCAGCCCATTGACCTCCATGCCTTCTCTGATGCCAGCTCCACTGTCGGCATTGGAGTTGTTGTCAATGGGCATTGGCATGCCTGGAGTTTGTGGTCAGGGTGGCAAACCTTTGATGGAGCTTGAGACATCGGGTGGGCTGAAGCCATTGGTTTCGAGCTCCTTGTCCACACTCTCCTCGACACCCACGTCAGGAGAGCACAGCATCATTTCCGGGTCTTCTGCGACAATCAAGGAGTGGTTGACGGGTGGAGTAATGGCCGCAGTCGGAACAGAGCAACTAACCTTGTCTTCAGGCGGATCCACGCTTTACTCAACTCACGGCCAGCCTTCACCTCGTTCCACCTCTGTTATGTCGCCAGTCGAGACAATCCGGCCGACGGTCCTTCAAGGGGTGTCTTCCCTTCACGAAGCCTCCTGCTGCCGCCCATCAAACTTCCTGGTAACCTTGCCAGTTTCCTCACCAGCATCGAGTGATCACGCTTCGGCAACGTCAGTGGCAGTATTTGAACACCTTCAGGTTTGGCTCACCGGGCATGCATTGAACACAATGGTCAACACTACGGTCTCGCCCACACGCACGAGTGCAGCCTCTACATCACGCTTCATGGAGGCTTCTGCCCCACTTCTGACCACAAGAGCCTCAGCCACACCATGTCCTTACCCAGCAGGCTTAACTCCACTAGTTTCCCCCCTACGCCCACACTGTCTGGCTCGAGATCGGTTGCGTTTTTGGGTCCCCACGGCCAAACGCTCTCGCATTGATAGTACGGGTACACCCATTCCGATTTCAGATGAAGACCTAGACCGAATCCTGGCAGTGATATCGCATTCACATGCAGTGGGCACCAGGGAGACCTATGGATCAGGTCTCCTGGTCTACCATGTTTTTTGTGATACTCGAGGAGTCGCTGAAGATCAGCGTTGTCCAGCGCCTTCGGTGTTGCTTCTGGCCTTTATCTCGGCCTGTGCGGGGTTATATGCTGGCGCCACACTTGACAACTATTTCTATGCTGTTCGTGCTTGGCACCTGATCCACGGGGCGCCTTGGCTCATCAATGTAGCTGAGTCCGCCCTTGCGCTCACAGGAGCCGCACGTTTAGCCCCGCCCTCTTCTAAACGGCCCAAGCGAGTTCCCTTCACAGTAGATCTTATTGCCAACATACATTCAGTCCTCAACATGTCACTGCCGCTACATGCCGCAGTTTTTGCGTGCCTCACAACTACCTTCTTCACCATAGCGCGCACAGGTGAATTCACTGTGCCCTCACTGACTGCCTTCCGCGCTAGTCCTAGCTCCTATGTGACGGTTGGGGACATTCGCTATGATGAAGATCGAAACGGATTCAAAGTTGTCATCTTTGCATTACCACAAACCAAAGTGTCCCCCATCGGAGAAGATGTTTATTGGGCCGCTCAGTCAGGCATAGTTGATCCGCAAGCTGCACTCCACCATCATTTGGCACTTAATCAGCCTCCTCCATCAGCTGCGGTTTTCAGTTGGCGGCACTCATCAGGTCTGCGCCCGCTGATGAAATCCACTTTTCTGGCATGTCTCCAGACTGCTGGAGATCAACTGGGGTCCGGAATGCTCAAAGGGCATGGGATTCGCATTGGAGGAACCTTAGAATATCTGCTGCGAGGGGTTCCTTTCGATAATGTCAAAGCCATGGGGCATTAGAGCAGCAATGCTTTTCTTCTCTACTTGCGGAAGCATGCCATGGTGCTAGCACCATACTTACAAGACACCCCAGTTTTGGAGCCCTTTATGTGTTACGCTTTGCCCCCAACACGTTAAATTTTTTTCTTTTCCTCAGTAAGTCTTCTGTGCTTATCTCCTTTTGGGTCGGGGTCAAGCTTGAGCTTGTTGCGTCGATTTGCCTCCTAATTTTTGGGACACACAGCTCATGCTTTCTTTTGTTAGGTCCCAGTGGTCCTTGTCAGCCTAACCCCTGCGGGTTTCACCCAAATAGACTTATACGTGTTTCGTCGTAGCCGTTACAGAACTTGCTTTGGTTTTATTTGTGTCGCGCTTTGAGTAAAAATGCATAGATTGTTTTCTATGAGAGTGAGAGGAACGAACACGTGCTTAGAATGAGGTCTATGCCCAAGGCAAATAAGCGAGGCATGCATTGATTCTTTCCTTCACTCTCACCACCTGTCGATTTTCTGGCTGCTGCTGCCAGATCTTTCCTTGTCTACCAGCCTGCTCAATTTAAAAGACCCACCCACCAC